CGCCAGGGCTCCCCGTCTGTTTCTGGAAATCTTGTGTCCATCTGCCCCCAGAGGAGGGGTCCCAGAACCCAGGCTGGTGTCGGGGCCTTTGGAAGGAGGAGGCAAACTGGACTCAAGGTCTGTGAACAGCTGGTAGGCCCAGCTGTAGCAGAGGCGCAGCAGCAGGCGGCAGTTCTCTGCCAACACCAGATGGCCACGGACCAACAAGGGAAGAGCAGTCCTGCCAAGGCCCCCTCACAGCCCCTTAGTGCCCATCTCCAGCTGTCCAGAAGGAACTGAGAGATGGGGGGGAGGTGGTCAGTGGGAGGAAAGGTGGGCCACAGCCAGAGTGCCACTGCTGGGCTAGGAACCAGACCCTCCCTGCTCTGAGCTACTCCCAAGCAGACAGTGCCTGACAACAAGGCAAATGGGCTCCGACAAACCCCCCACAATTCCCTCCATGCCCTTTCGCTAGGAAGTGCCTTCCAGCTCTCCTATGTCCACCAAGCTGCTGCACTCTTAGGTCTCTATTCGCACTGATTGCTCTAGGATGACTCCCTCTTTGCCCTCTCCAGCTTTTCACCTTTAAATTACACCTCAGTCGGCACTGATGCCTGGGGAGCCTTTCCTGTTAAGCTCCTCCTGGCCCTGACCGCAGCCAAGTGCGGCCTACGGATCCTATGGTGCTTTAGATTTCCCCCACCATTGCATCAACAGCTGTGGGCTCCCGGCACATGCTTCTTGCTCATCTTGTGAGCCCCAGGGCTTAGTTCTAGACCCGACAAGGAAGAATGGTAATAACTTGTTAAATTGAAGAGCCCTCCCACAACTGAGAGGAAATTGGTAAGCTCTGCCAGCCTTCCTGGAGCACGTGACCTCAGCAGCCTTCCCACTAGGGTTGCAGGTGTTTCCCTCTTCCCACCGGAACTACCATCCACTCAGCACCACCTGCCTTCCCCTCGCCTTTGTCTATGTCTGCTAAAGCAACCCAAGGCCTGTGACCCAGGAGCTCCAAGTCGGGGAGGTGCACTTGCATTTGCGATATTCCAAAAAGACCACCCAGAGGACAGATGGGGGCATACCATTTATTACCAGGGAGTGCACCCATGGCAGCGGATCGGGCGAGACCATGCCCACCTCCAGCCTTGGTGCTACTTATAGGGTCAGGGAGAAAACAGTGATTACGGGCAAAAGCTTTACATTTTTGTGATACACAGGAGCCTCGTGAGGGCCAAGACGTCCACGTGCAGATGTTTTCTTCGTCCCTTAGGGCTGCTACCCTGGCAGCCCTCTGTTCTCTGAGGTCGTGGAGGGGCATGTCCCCAATCACCCCCCAGGGCCAAAGCTACCCTGCCTCACAGGTGAGAAAGAACCCATCCAAATCTGAAATCTCCATTGAGTTCTGTGACTGGAGGGAGAGGAAGGCAGTACCACAGGGCAGTAAAGAGAGCATGAGCTCTGCTGGCAGGCAGTCCTGGGTTCAAATCCCGTCCCATTTACCAGCTGTAGGACCTTGGGCAAACTTCTCCGCCTCTCTGAGCCTGTTTGTCCATGGGTAAAACACAGGGAAACTCAATTCTCCATAGGATTTGCCTTAGCGTGGGTTCCCCTGGGATAAGATCAAATTTGACTGCAGACAGTTAAGTTAGGAAGGGATCCAGGGCAGGGCTGGGATGCGAGCGATGTATGTGAGGCTCTGTGCTCCCCAATGTCAGGGGGCCCTCAGGTTCATGAGCCTGGGAGTGAGCAACTTCCAGCCAGCTGGTGAATCGAAAGCCCTTATCTCCCCTCAACAAGGACCTGAAAGCAAATAGTTTACACCTCTCCTCCCTGACTGGAGAACACATAGCTTACACCTCCCTGGTCTGGGAACTAGGGAGCCGAGACCCAATTAATGCCACATGTGCCAGCTAAACCCAAGGACAGAGTCAGGGGAGCAAATAACAAAAACCCCATTAAAAGCCAGATAGATCCAAGATAAAAGTAAAATAGTGTTAACAGACCAAAGAATAATCCCAAACCCTCCCTGAAGATTCTCACGTGCAGAAGACACAAAGACCTCAGGATGCAGACTCAGTGTGGGTTGATTCCAGAGCACGCCCATGCCCCTTCCCTGGCACGAACCTCTTTATTTCCTCCTAAGCTCACAGGGTCCCCATGACACCTGCAGCCAGGGGAGGAGCAGGCAGTGGCAGCTCCACACAGGTTTACCCCCATCCTGTTTCCAAGGCCCCTTCTTTCTCTGACTCTCCAGTGAGCTAAAGAGCCCCGCCTCGGCCCACCCCTTTCCTATACATTTTTTAGGGAGCCGAAGCAGAGCGCCGCCCAGGCTCTCTCCTGTTGCTTCTCCCATCCCAAGTCCTTCCTTTGTCTTGTCTTGCTGTCCCCAGCTTTAATAAATGTGCTCTCAGAATCACCTGGACTCGTGTTGGGAAGTCTTTCCCGAGCTAAGTCAAGCACCCACACACTACAGGCCGGCCTGCTGCAGACCCACTCTGGGCTAGTCCCTGTCCAGTAGCACCGAGAGGCGAGGAAGCTAGGGTGCTCACCCTCTGACTTCCAGGTTCCACTGGCTGAGGGCCGCTTCAGGGCCCTGATCATGTGGCACTCCCAGCCTGTGCCACATGCCCAGAGAAGGGCTATGGCAGAGTCACAGGTTCTTGCGATAGGACCGTGTGGGGTTACGTATGAGTACCCAGGGCAAGAGGGCGAGGCACTGCCTCTGCTACAGGTCTGTTGTGAGGATGCAAGAAAATCACCACCACCACACCTCACATAGAGAAGGGCCCCTCTTCCAACTTATGGCAACTGCTTGTGAAGGTTAGGGAGCTTCCTACATCTCCAGGGGTCAGCAACACCAGAACTGCTGCTTCCCACCTTGGAAGACGTGGAAATCCCACCAGGCCCGTAGGAGAGCTCTCAACACCCAGGACTGCAGCTTACTGTGCAGAGTGGTTGATGGAGTGAAGGTAGAGGGCTCACCCCTCTGAGAACTGTTTCTTCCTGAATCTGCACCCCACCCTCTGTGGCTTCTACGCCTCTCATGCTAACACTCTTTAGGACACACAAAACCAGCACCATGTGAGTGACCACGGCTGCCATGGCCTCGTCGTCTTCTGTGACAGGTACTGTGTCTGTACACACACTATTTAACCCCGAGAACCCTGTGTGATTTTCCCCACTTTACAGACAAGGAAACTAGATCTCCAGAGAGATTGACCTGCATCAGAATCAGGGGTTCAGACTCAGGGTGGTGGGATACTCTTTCCACGGACTTCCTTTCTTCACCTTCTCAGCAATGCCCCTCCCACACAACCAGTCTTTACCAGAGACAGTGGAAGGTGGGGGGTGGGGGCGCCTGGAGAGAGGGGCTGTTTCCCTTTGACTTCCCCATTAGCTAACAAAAAGCCTGTTGTTCCTGGTCCTGCTTGTCCACACCCTCCTCCAACAATGTGCCACTGACCCACGTTCTAGGTAGACTGCTCCATTTTAAGCTAAATATTCACTTTGTAAAATCAGCCCTTTCCCTTTCTTATCTTCAGACAGAGAAGCAACATGCTACCCAGTTTACAGAGTTCTACCTCCAAAAAATGCTATTTCATGAGAAGACTAGTGGGAGTTAAGCTGATGGGACATCACTAATTTACATTAGAAGGAAAACAGGAAAATAATCAATACTTCAGTCAAAATAAAGCATTTTCTTTTCCTGGATTTTTAAAAGAACATTTTATTTATTTATTTTTAGAGAGGGGGAGAGAGGGAGAAAGAGAGGAAGAGAAGCATCAGTATGTGGTTGCCTCTTGCACGCCCCCTACTGGGAACCCGGACTACAACCAAGGCATGTGCCCTGACTGGGAATCGAACTGGCAACCCTTTGGTTCACAGGCTGGTGCTCAATCCACATCAGCCAGGGCTATAGCATTTTCTTTAGGAGAGAAGAGGAGGCCATGGACAAAAGTGGCTTTATTTGTTCTTCTCAGCCTTTGTTTACTCATCTGAAAATCAGGAAGGATAATACTTACCTCACAGGATTGCTGCGGGGATTAAGGGACTAAGTGCACTGCATGAACCACAGAAGCTGCTCAAAAACTAACTGGCATTACTCATGTGGAGCTGGCCTCAACATCAGTGCCGTCCAACGCCAAGGAACGGGCAGAGTGCCTGCCATCCTGCCTTCGAACTCGGAGATCATGTGCACAGGGCACGCAGGCAGGAAACTGTGCCTTCCGTCCCAGGTATCTTTGAACTCCCTGGTCTAACACACACCTCATTTGCATGAAAGAGAGGGAGGGGTGGGGGGGAGGGAGGAAAGAAAAGGTAACACTGATACATCAGAAGTTGGGAGAGTCCGTGTCCCTGTTCATCCTGTCCCACGACCTCTCCCATTCCTCAGCCACCCCCACAACGATGTGACACCTCCACGTCGGTTTGAGCCAGAGTCAGCTTTCCGAACATCCTCATCTGATCATCTTCCTCGGGCAGATGCTCCTGCCATGCAGCATCCTCCCACGACTGCCCACGCACTGAGGACAGACCCCGTCTCTGTTCTGCTCCGGAAGCTCCTGGGCAGCGTGGCTGAGAGTGTGCACTCCTCTACTAATGTACTGAAATGGAACCTATTTCCTGTTACTGTTATGGTCTCTGACAGCAAGAGATCCAACTGTGCTTTTAACAGGTGAATATGCCTGGCATCCCCACTGGTTATTCCAGGAAGGAAAAATAATTGCATCAAAACTAACTAAAACCAGAGTGTTCACTTACAAATTCCTGAGCAGAACAGCAGGAATCACCCCTCAAAGGTCCTAAGCTCTGGCTGAGAATGCATGACTGGGCGAGGCAGTGAGATAAAGTAACGGGTCACTGAATGGTAGAGACAGCAGAATAAGGAGCAGGAGTCAGTGCGCTGGCTGGCACCCCACAGAGTGATGTCAGAGAAGGTTGAGGGGATAACCCCGCAGTGTCTGGAACTGTGCACCACATAGTCAGTGAGTATAGGCTGCGTATCAAAGACAAGTAAAAAGTCATTAAGAAACATGAAATTTATGTCTGAGAACTAGCTCCACAATTCAAATAGTCCCTCCCCAGACCCTGTAATACAGAGGGGAAAAAGGAAGCTCCATCTCACTGAAATAAGATTTCATACAAACATAGATAAATATATTTAAATTTTCTTTGAACTATAAGCAAATTCGAACAGGCTGTTATAAAACAGAACACTATACACTGATATCCGTACAGATCATAGAGAACACGAAACCGGAACACTGAGCAGGTGCTCACGGTGGGGACTGCAGGGCCACAACCTGCTCAGCAATGAACTGGGCCACCAAGGCTTAGTGAGCATGGCCTCCCCTACTCCTCATGCTTTTGTCAGCCTCCAGACCCTAGAAATTCAGGATTTTCTCCTTCTTCCTCTGCCTGCTTTGGTCCGTGTCCGGCTACCTGGCCGGACAGTAAACTGCTTTTTAAAGTCAACTAAGCAATCTGTGGCTTCTGAAATGGAAACAAAAGACTTGATGGGAGACTCAGTTAAGTCGAGCTGTGCGAGGGAGCTCTGCATGTCTCTGCTGCAGCCTGCCTCTTCCATCCCCGGTGAGGGCACCCTAGAGAGAAGGGGGAATTCAGAATTTGATACACACCACTAATAAGCAGTGTCATGTAGTATAGCAGGGGCTTTTACACATATTATTGATTCACATAACCGTTGTCATTATCCAGCCAGACAAGTCCCATCATTCCCCTTTTACAGATGAGGACATTGGGTAAATCGTATACATAAAGCTACACAGTTGGACAGTGAGGGAATGAGGATTCAGAACCAAATTCCCAAGCTGCTGGAAATCCAAGTCAGAAGACCAGGGTTGGCTGGGGACAGAGGAGTAGAGACAAGTAAGAAATAGTTTTTGCTTTGCTAGTTTTAACACAATAAGTGAACTGAGCTGCCCTCGAATTGTTAGCCCAGATATGAGGGTGTCACAGAGGTATACGGAGAGAGGTCATACAGTTAAAGTGATTTCTACCATCAGCAGTTTGAAAACCACACCATACACAGAGCCCAGGCCCAGGCCCATCCTTTCCTAGAACTGCGGACAGTCACACCCCAATGCACACCCCAATGCACCTGAAAGCCACTGTTTCTGAAGACTTGGTCTTTATCTCTGCATCTGTAATAGGAGAAAAACAGGAATAATGTTGTTAGTAGTATCGCAATCATACCACTGCTCACTGATCATGTGCTTCCTGTGTTCTGGGCACTGCTTTTCGTCAAACTGATCCAGATGGCTCAGCGCCAATCCCCACACCAATGGAATGTGAGCATTTAGCATCCAACAGGCTCAGCTGCAGAAGTATGGAGGTGAACACTTTTGAATGAATGACCTCTGCAGAAACCTACTTCAGATCTGGACCTGAAGAACAAGGAGTTGCCAACCACCTGCGGAGAATCACAACCTGCTGATCTAGAGGCAGCAGGATGAGGGGCTCAAAGAAAGGCTTAAGCAAAAGTTCCTCTTCCATCTGTATCTAGTGAATTTTAACAACAGCAACAAACAACCACTATAGTAATAACAGCTAACATTTATCAAGGGAATATCTGGGCCAGGGGACATGTGTGGAGCTTTACTAGATACAATCCTTACAGCCTGAGACTGGCATTACTCTATGCAATGCACATAACCAGCCAACTCTTATGTTCCCTAAATCCTAGGCACAAAGAGACAGGTACTTCCTACAAGACGTCAGGGGCACAGGTTTGGACATTAAACTCAAAGTAACACAAATAAAGCACAAAACAATGGGAGGAGGCAGTAATGCCGGCATGTCTGCTTTTCCATGCCTTTTCCTGCGAGGGTATGTGGGGCTTATTTCTTTGTCCAGTCACCTGGAAATGTCTTTTCCCAGTCCAACAGGCTTTACAAAGCCTGAAATGAAATGCGTGATGCTGCGGACAGGCTATCTCCCCATCTTCCTCGGGGAGAGATGGCCCAGACCGAGTCTCAAAGGCTGGCTACTCCGGCCAAATGTGCATCCACCTAGTTCCAACAAACAGGGAGGTGGCAGAGGTTCTTTTCACTGGAAGGCCTTAGCCAGAAGCCCGGAAAACTGGTCCCCGAGTCCTCACCTTCAGTCTTCTGCTCCGACTGGTCTAAGAGACTGAGGAGTCGGCCTTCACTGCGCCCTTTTTCCTGTGACGCAGATAAATAAACGAAAGGGAAGGGTTACCTCATGGCAGAAAATCTAGAACACTTCTTTAGCCCAGATCACACCTGTCTCCAGGAGAAAGAGGTGTGGAGGCACTCCTTGAGGGAAGCCTTTTGCTTTCTAATAAATGAGGGTGCACAAGTAAAAAAGATAACCAGGGTGAAGAGAATACATCTTCATGCCAGTATTATCCAAGAACAGAAACCAGAGTGAAGGCAAGTTATTACCCCAAGACCATATTAAACAACAGTAGCCTTTGGCCTATGACTGATTTGGAGAGATTTAAAATAAAAAATAACAGTTCTGAGGTACGTTCTAGGGGTAGGAATGCCAGAAGAACCACCTGGCTCAGTAGTCCAAGCCCCAACTCCAAACCACCACCTCAGAGCCATCCTGTTCACGCAGGGCCCCCTTCTCATGTCCTGACAGATAATGGCTTCTTCCTCTTAGTGTACACTGATGGCTCTAGGCCTGGAAAATAGAGCTGTTGTTTTATTTTTGATTTCTAAGCTAAGACTTGCTCCTCCTAATCTCTAATCACAAAGCCCAGAAAACACATCCACCTTCCCAATGACCAGAGGCCACACCCCTTGGCCTCCTAAGACCAGGAACCCAGAGGGTTCAACAGAGCTGGTCTCGGCTCCTGGCAAGGGGGTGTGACTGGAGAGCCTTTCTGCAGAGCAGTTTGACTGTGTGTTTCATCAGATTTTTAAATGTTTATGTCCACTGCCTTAAGAATTCCACTTCAGGAAATCTATCTAAGGAAACAATCACTGGTACAAAGGCTGATTAATGTTTTAAACAGTTTTATAATAGAGAACTGGAAAGAACCTGAATGTCCTATAATAAGAACAGTTAAGTGACTGTGTGATATAAACATTCAGAGTAATTTTAAAAAATAGTTTAAAAATAAACCAAGATATTTAAGCTACATGTTCAGTGCATATACACATATAGTATGGTGCCAACTACATTAAAAATGCATAGAAAAAACACTGGAATTTTCCCTAATTCTTCGTATGTTTTTTAAATTTCATTTTTTAATTATAGTTTACATTCAGTATCTTAATGTAAATTAAGTAAATGTAAAATTACATGTAAATTAAAAAAGTAAAAGTAAAAGTAAATGTAAAAAGTAAAAGTAAAAAGTAAAAAGTAAAAAGTAAAAGTAAAAAGTAAAAAGTAAAATGTAAAAAGTAAAAAAAGTAAAAGTAAATGTAAATTAAGTAAATGTAAATTCAGTACAGCAAATTTTAAAAGTATTTGCTGTACTTTCTACAATGAACATATAAGTATTATTTTTTTAATTAAAAAAGTGTTAAAAAGCACAAATCTTGTTTCAAGACAAACAAAAGAAAAAAGGAGGCAGGAAGGGAGGGGAGAAAAAACCCAGAACAGAAATGTGGAGGGTCAGTCTTTCCTCGAACACCCCACTTACCTTCAGGTTCCTCGGCCACTGCTGCTGCTTCCCCTGCACAGCTGAGTGTGCTCTCCCACTCTCTGCAGGCCCGTCTCCTTGGTCACACCTTGCAAGCCGGAGACAGGACTCAACATGACACTGGTACTCTTTGAATGGGACTAGGGATTTACAGAGATAACACTTCTCATTCCTAGCCAATCAGAAGAAAGACAGATAAAGCAGTTTTAAGATTTGCTTTTGCCGCTGGGCTCCTGATATATCTCAAATTGTGTTTTTACATCTCAAAGTTATTCTGTGGAGGAGGCATGTCAACCAATGCAGAATTGCTCAGCGGGGCTGCTGATAAAACTAACCCACCGACAATCAAAAGGATGGAATGATTAGTGGTTTTCCCTTGCTGTTTCTCTGTGCCCCGCTGTCGCAGCAGTTGGATGGCAATAAGATCAACTCTTCTATCTCAAACAACGCTGATTGCTCTTCAAACATAAAATATTCTGTCAAACTCCTCTGAAATTAAGTGTAACAGTTTTTTCAAAGGTAAGTTAAAATTTAGACATAAAAGGGAACACCAAGAACATTTATAATCAAGATTACAATTTTTACCCGGGTAGATGAACTTGTCTGATTAGTGAATCAAGTCTGTCCATATGCCAACTTCCTTAATTCTACAACCTACAACTAGGAAGTTACCAAAACCATGTGGCTCTGCCAGAGGCTTCTGCATGAATTCATATACATAGTTATTTTTTAAATTTTTGTAACACTTGAATTTGTGGAAAAAGAGGGTATTGTGTCCTTGAGGTAAGGTTTATTGGACATTGGTGAAAATGGAATCACTGGGGACAAAGGAAGAAAATGAACATTTATTAAGTATTTCTTCTGTGGTCAGAACTAGTGGAAGGTGCTTTAAATACAATTTCTCAATTAATTTTCCAGCCCCATTAAGAGGGTGCTTTTCTCTCCAAGGTCCTATAGCTAATAACTGTCAGAAGCCAGGTCTGCCTGACTCATAAGGAGAGCATCTTAGTTTTAAGAAGGTAAAGCAAACTTTCCAAAGTTTGCTTTCTTAGACTTCTCTTTCTGGCTGTTACTCTTCAATTACTACAGCAAGGGAAATTGGATTCACTCTAAGGAAGAATTTCTCTGGAGGTCTTTAAAATAGAAGAAATAAGTCTCTCAAGTACTTCATCATCTGAGAGAACGCCTTCTTCCTTACGAGAAGAGCTAGATGAGTGTCTCTCTCATGGTGTAGCAGTTAAAGCAGAAAGCACCTACTCATCCCCTACTGTGTGAGGGACAGCAGCACTGGGGAAGGGGCATAAGTCAGGCAGGCTTTGCCAGTTCTGGCCACATGATATCAACCAGTTATTTGCAATTTCTCTTTAGTTTCTTTACTAAAAAGACAAAAAAAAGAGTAACCACCTTCCTTACCATCCATTGTGAGAGTAATATAGTAAACCAAGCATCCAGCACAGTGCCCGGCACACAATATTAGGTGCTCAACAAACAGCTTTCACTCTCGCTGCTGTCTCAGACACATTTCATTAGCTGCTGGGGAACAGAGTACGAATGAAGGCAACTATCTGTCTTCAAATAACTAACAGCCTAGCCAAGGAAACAGAAATGTCAAAAAAAAATGACTACAACACACTTGGATGAAGTGTATTGTAGTGATGATACAGTCCTAGAGGAATGTCCACACGATGGTAAGATTACAAAGGTAGCAGTGATCACCTCTGCTCAAATGGATTAGGGGAGGAACTCTAAAATGTGTTTCAAAGATAAAGGTTTCTGCCTAATGACTAACTGTTCTAATGGATTGTTGGTAATGTCTTTACTTTGGGGAGACAGCACTTCAGCCTGACCCCCCCAAGTCCACCAGAATGTGCTTTCTTAGTCAGGCTGCAACCCACAACCCAAGGAAGTCTTCTACATTGCCCAACCTTTTGCAATTCAACTTCTGTATCATTACATCACAAAATAGCTCACTACTTCCCCAAACACCAAATACCAACATGCAAATTCAAAGAAAATAATTTTTTAAATTTCAAAATTAGTCGAATGCAGCCAAAACAGTGGGATTAACTATACATAATAAACTATTATACACCTACATACATCTATACATATACATGCATATATAGATACATATATATTTTAAGTTACAGGGAATAAAGTTTATTTTGGCAGACAGTGTTAAAACAAAATTAAAGTTGTAGACATTAGTAACCTAACTCAATATCCTTAGTTTGGTATAAGTGTGACACATTTTCTTGCTTTCTTATATTCACCATAACCTAAACCACTTTAAAAACTGATAAATTGCCCTGGCTGCTGTGGCTCAACGGATTGTGCAACGGCCTATGAACCACAGGGTCACCGGTTCAATTCCCAGTCAGGGCACATGCCTGGGTTGCAGACCAGGTCCCCAGTAGGGGGCATGAGAAAAACAACCACACATTGATGTTTCCCTGTCTTTCTCCCTCCCTCCCCCTCTCTAAAAATAAATAAATAAAATATTAAAAATAAAAACAAGCCGATGAGCTGAAATTTAGCTTTACTGTTTTCACTTATGCTCTGATTCCAAAGCTAAAAGCAATGTGGAACTGGAGCAGGCAGCAGGCTTTTTTAGGGTAATAGAAAGGGATATACAGAGGCCACACACACTGACACAGACTGGGAATAAGAAAGTCAGGCATCCAAGGGAACAGTGATTGGCAGGCCAAAGAAACTCAGGGTAAGAGAGGAACTGGTCTCTCTATTCAGTCTAAGCCACAACATGTTGAACAGGAGCTCCCTGAACACAGCGAACCTACTCACTTCTCAATGTCCAGGGGAGCCTGGGCAGCCGTCCCACTGCCGCTCTTGCTCTGGGCCTCTATTTTTCTCCAAGTCAACACTTTCAACACAAAAAGAAAAAAGAAGAAGAAAAACTGTTAGTTGGCAGCAGACTCTGAATATAAAAGAGGAAATGTAGAGGAAGAAGCAAAGTTTAAAATCTTATTCCACTGGGAGACGTGCACTTTCTGGGAAACCTCTGCCTTTCTAATACAGAGAGTAGCCCCTGTCACCATATGTACTGCAACTGCCAGCTGCAAGATATGCCCATATTTGCTAATGAGATCTATTTACCCCCCATTTGCCATGAGATCTAAAGACCCAGTCCACACCAAGAAAGGTTTGTGTGTACTATCCCAAGCTGCAGCACCCAAAGGAGGTTTTGTACTTTTCCAGTCAAAATTCTGACTGGCTTAAATTGAGCTTAAACACAATTAAGGTCCATCCCCTACCTTCCCAAATCACTTTCAAATAACGTTATTAAGACAGGTGTCCTAACTCTATACTTATATAACTACATTGTTGGGTATTTTTCCCCTTTAAATACAGGACTTTAGAGTTGTCCCTGTTCTTTTCAGGTGAACATTCCAGTCTGTTGAGTTCATTTGTGGTCTTTTTTTCTTTTCTTTTTTTTTAAGATTTTATTTATTTTTAGAGAGAGGGGGAGGGAGGGAGAAAGAGAGGGAGAGAAAGATCAATGTGTGGTTGCCTCTCGAGCACTCCCTGCTGGGGACCTGGCCTGAAACCCAGGCATATACCCTGACTGGGAATCAAACCAGTGACCCTTTGGTTCACAGGCCAGCCAGCACTCAGTCCACTGAGCCATACCAGCCAGGGCTCGTTTGTGGTCTTGATTCTGTCATCTGATGTTATTAGCTCTCTTTTCCAGCTTTGTGTCATCTGTCCATGTACCAAACAGGCTTTCTACATCATTCAACTCACTGGGGGAAAATAGTTTTAAAGGATAGGGCCAAGGACAGAGAACTGTGGCATGTTACCAGAGAAATCTGTCTTCTCCTCCCTGGTCCAAGTTTCTTTTAAATGCTTAATCAAGCAAATATTTACAGGGAATCTTTGATGTGCATGTAATTTGGGGAGATAAAGAAAATTATAAGGAGGGGTCCTAAGGAGGGTATAGTGTATTAAGGGAAACAGCACACACACTCAGACAACTATAATACTAAGTGTAAAGAGATACACATAATGAAACCAGGTCATACACGCAAGCAGCTATGAACAGTGTTGACTGTTCAGTCGATGACTGGAATGGTAAGGAGGCATGTTTTTCACTACATACTTTCTGTACTGTTGGAATTAAAAATTAAAAGGTAGAAAAAAAGATCAGATTACAGAGAGTAGGCAATCTATTTCTAAGGTTCCTTCCAAACCAGAGATTTTGTAAGTAAAAATAAAGTACTGCCGGAGAAAAACATCCTCGACATAGTTGTATAACCACCACCAAATCCTCCTCCTACTCTATCAGCCAGCCCACATTTCTCCATCTTATGTACAAGGACTTCATGAGAGATTTTATCAAGTGCCTTGCTGAAATCAATTCTTAAAAGGTTGGCACCTCGCAGATTACAGAAACCTTTAAGAGTTGTTTTTTCTCTCTCTCTTTCCATTTGTCCCCAATCTTAACTACCAAGTATTTTTCGAAAAGGAATACTTGGAAACCACTCCACAGACAGGGCTGGAGAAGAATTAATTGCTTCTAGCACTTTATATACCTCTATTGCACTCAGCACAGTCCTGTCACTTGTTTGTGTGCCAGTTTTTTCTACACCATGCATCTTTCTGAACTCAGAGATTTTGTTTTGTTTTGATCTCTTCAGCATCCCCAGCACCATATAGCACATATTAAATGCTAACAAACATTTGCCCAATTAAATCATAGCAATGGATTCAAGGGGAAAAAGAGCTCTTGTTGTACGAGGACCTGCTCTGTACCAGGGAACTTATAATCTCTAATCCTTAAAATAAAACCCTACAAGGCATATATCATCTGTATTTTATAGATGATGAAATAGTAAATAACCTGATCAAGATCTCAAAACTAAAACAACAACAAAAACCCAGCAGAATGCAGTGCAAGTCTGACTTCAAAGCAGCATATGTTCTTCCACAGGAGCAGGCTGCCTCTCCTGAGAAGTAAGAAGGTAAAGGACGGGAGAAGAAGGAGTCTAAGTGGTGAGGGAGTGGGCAGGTGAAAAGGAATGTAAGTGAGTGGAGAGGCCTGGCAGGTGGCTGGGAACTGTGTGCTAATTCTCCTATTTAATGTCATGGCCAGGGTGAACTGGACTGGGCTTGCAGCCCAATTTTTTCCTCTGAAACCCACTACCCTTTACAAAGGAACAGAAAGTATAAGTAGCTATTAAAGGAGCCTCCAACTCCAGTTTGTGAGGGTTGAGACAGCCATTTCAAGTAGCTGCAGGCAGAGAATTCAGTATGAAACTGAAATCCGAAACCCTTGTAGCTGGTGACAATAGCCAAAATTCAAAAGTGAACAGTGGAATCTCAGGAAAACTACCAGGAAAACAACTATCAGGCCAAGGTAAGCAAAATGGTGAGGAAAGGTGTCACTAACTGCTGGGAGAGCCACCTGTAAACCTTCGATCACTAACTCAGCCCTTTTTATACCACTGGATGGAAACACCCTAAGGAGCTGCACTAGGGACTCGCCTTGGCACTGTCAAGATGCAAGGAAGGAGCAGGGCCTAGGGGAATAAAGTACACCGACTTCAGAGCTGGCAGAATGGTGTCCAAATTGAGACTCTACTAGCTGTTTGCCACAGTCCAATAACCTGAGTGCTACCGTATTATACCATGTATAACGCGCACTTTTTTGCCCACATTTTTGAGGGGAAAATAAGGGTGCACATTATACATGGGTAGTGCCTGAAAGACCTTGTACCTGTTCTTGTGTTTTGTAATTTATTTGTTACATAAAATTTCTAGTACTGTAATATGTTAAAAAAATGCTAAAATTCCTTTATAATATGAAAAACAAGTATCTAAATATAAATAATTGAATTTAAAAATTCAAATGAAAGATTTTTTTCATGAAAGTTTGGGCCAAAAAGTTGGTGCGCACAATACATGGCAAAATACAGTGCATTAGCTGACCTACCTACAAAATGAGATGATGAAGCATCTCCCCTCACGAAGTTGGTAAGGATCACATCAGATAATTCAAATTAAGTTGTGAGAGTGTCCAACCCACAGAAGGCACTCAGCAAACACTAACTGTTAATTGTCATTATTATTCTTCCTGACTTATTTCTTAGATTTATCCAAAGATTCAAGCGCATCCTCAGAATAAGCACTTATCAGCCTGTCTATAATTTGGATTAGGTATTAGTCTTAATTGGTTCCCATACTAACTTTTACAAACTGAATGAACAGTAAACAACCAAAACATTACAGAACAGTTATTTATCAATACATACTATGTAGATATCAGCACATTTGTTTCCAAAAACCCAAAGACAAGCAATCAAAAATAAAAACACATGGCCTAGAACCAACAGTGGAAACAATGGTTGCTTGACGGGAGTAGAAATTATATATACAAACAAGAGACTTGGCAGGATGGCAGAGGTTAGGATTTTCAATATATCTCCCTCAACCTCAAAACCACCTCAGCAGAAAGTAACAGGAGGCCACACACTTGAGGGTATTCCTGTTGAAAGTGCCTCTCCTCCAGCCAGGCTCTTCCTCAGCGGGATGTAGTGAGAAAGGGAAGGTGCATTTCACCAGCATGTTGCCTGCCTCAATGCTACTGGCCTCCCCTAAGAAACTCCAAAGAGGGTTATCATTAGAATTAATTATGTACCATTCTGAGTGATGTGGCTTTTAAAATTTAAATCTTAATTAGAATTAAATATCATTTAAAATTCAGCTCCTCAGTCTCATGAGCCACATTTCACATGCTCAATAGCCACATGTGACTGCTGACTTCCATACATGACCCCAGAGATTGAGAACATCTCCGTCACTGCAGACAGTTCCACTGGCTAGCATGGCTCCTTTAAAAGATAACCAGGACTAATACAACAGTATCAGGCCTTAAGTCTGTTTACCTTGGACACCACAAGAAATTCAAGCCTCCCTGGCCTCGCTCACCACCTCGCTTCTCATCCCCACATGACTCTGATCTGTCATCTGGGGGGACTTCTCTAACCTGACTTGGTCGTCCACACCTACTCTGGAAACAAATGCCTTCTGGAATTCTGGTGATTTGTACTGATCGACAAAACCCCTGACGTGCTCAGCCTCCTCTGAAAGTTCTCATCTTCTTGCTCTCACTGAAAGAAGGCTGTCCTCTGAGGAGGACACTGCTTCCCCTCGTCCCTACTCAAGTACTGGATTGTTTCTTCTTTACACTGCAGCACTACTGACCTGGAGTTGGGGTAGATATCCTCTTCCTCCTTGTCGTTGCTTCCAGTCTACTGGGAAAACCTAGTTCGAAGCACAAACCACGTGTTACCCCTGCTACCCACCCCAAAGTAATCAGCTCCTATCCTCCTGGTTGCCGGTCCCCCACACTTACCACCATTCACTGAAAACTTGAACATGTCACTTACCGTCTTTCTCTTCACCACTGCAGCCATCATTCTTGGTGATTTCAGTATCTACAAACTGTATTAAGACTGAAGCGTATGAAGTTGCAGTTTTTATAGGTTTCAACCTAAGGTATGCTCCATCCCCTACGCTTGCCTCTCAGTTGCTTGGCTAGTCCTGTGGATCATCCCATCCTGGCCTTTCTCGAGGGGGATCTGAGAGAGAAGCAAGCCTAATGCCCTAAGGCATCCACTGTATGTGATGAGTTAACCTCCCTCTGCTGCATTTAGAATGGTTGGTCCCAGTTCTGTACCCTCCTTGGGAGAAGTAGAACAATCTGTTCATTTTCTGTTTCATGGTTCTGCTGAGAAGCCCTGGCTGAGCCTGTCAGTAATAATTGTGCCACTTGTACAAATTTCTCAGTTTCAGAAGTCCCATTCTCTGATCATCACCACCTGCCTTTTCCAGCTCATGCCCTCTAGTACCCTAACTCCAATAATTTTTCAGCCTCTCCAGGACATCTAATTCCAGACTGTCACCTTTTCCATGTCCATTACCCTGTCAGGTCCTCAATTTCCTTCTTACCTAACTTAGATCTCATGGTTATCACATTAACAATTCCCTTGAAGAGTCCCTCAACTTATTTCTAATCTTTCTCATGCTCCACAACAAAACCCAATCTTGGTGGAATCTAGCCTTCCACCTGTTCTATGTTCCTACCTAAGTAGCCCAACTGTGCCAACTGGGCTCACATCATATTGAAGACTGGAAACCTCAAGTGGCCCGTCGGTACAGCCCAGTGTTTCCATGGTCAGCTTATTCCTGTGCTCTCCCAGAGGCTCTTTCACATCTTCTCCACTGTCCTCTCCACTATCCTCACACCTCCAACACCCATCCTGATTCTGCTGTCGTCATTCTTTTTTGTTTCAATATAACAACTACAGCTTCAACATATGAAGCTATAATTCACATATATTCAGTGGTTTTCAGCATATCCAGAGTTGTACAACCATTACATCAATTTTAGAACATTTTCATTAACTAAAAAATAAATCTGTTCTTATCAGTACTCATTCCCCATTTTCCCCCAAACTCCCAACATAGGCAACCACTTATCTGCTTTCTGCATCTATGGATTTGCCTCTTCTGGGCATGTCCTATAAATAGGATCATACAATATGTGGGCTTTTGTAAGCGGCGTCCTTCACTTAACCTATGTTTTCAAGGCTCGCCCACGTTATAGCATGTGTCAGTACTTCATTCCTTTTCTCCCATTGTGGTTGCATCATGTCACATTCCCACTGACAATATACTGGGGTTCCAATTTCTCCACATTTTTGCCAACATTTGTTATCTTCAGGTTGGAGTGCTCGTTAATAGCCATCCTAGTGGGTATGAGCTGTTATTTCATTATGCTTCTGACTACTGACTAATCATGTTGATCATCTTTTCATGTGCCTGTTGGCCATTTGTACATATTCTCTGGAGAAAAGTCTATACAAAACCTTTGGTTTAATTGGGTTATGTTTTTGTTGTTGAATGGTAAGAGTTCTTTATATACTCTGGAATCTAGACCTGTACAGACATATATTTGGAAGTATTTTCTCCCATTTAGTAGGTTTTCTTTCACTTTCTTGCTAGTGTCCCCTGGTGCATGATAGTTTTAAAATATGATGGAGTACAATTTATTTATTTTTTTCTTGCTGCTGGTACTTTTGGTGTCTAAGAATCTAAGAATCCATTGCCAAATCTAAAGTCATGGAGGTTGACCCCTAAGAGAGTTTCATAGCTTTTGCACTTACATTTAGGTCTTTGATCCATTTTTTTAATATATGGTGTGAGGTAGAGCTCCACCTGTGGATGGGCATGTGGATATTCAGTTATCCCAGCCACATTTATTGAAAAGACTATTTTTCACCCACTGAACTGTCATGCCCTTGTCAAAAACTGCACATAAATGTATGGTTTTACTTCTTGACTCATAGTTCTATTCCACTGATCTATATATCTATCCTTATGTCAGTACCACATTGTCTTGATTAATAAGTTGCAAAACCAAGAAGTGTGAACTGTTTTTGGCTATTCTGGATCACTTTATCTCCTAATCCCCCAAAATGGAGTCATCAGTAAACCAGCTGCTTGGGGCAAAACCTTGGCATAACCCGAGTTTCCTCTGTCTTACTCCAACAAATCCTGTAGATTTAACCTTCAAAATACTTCCCAAATTGGACAACTTCTGCACCTCACAGCTATTACTGTGATCCAAGTAAGCACTAGCCCTCGCATGGACACTGCAATGGCCTCCTGCTTAGTCTGTTCACTTCCATTTTTTGTGTCCTGTCCCTCAGCAGACTGTTTTTTCCACACAGTGGCCAGAGTTAATTATATCACTCCTTTGCTCTTAACCCTTCTGTGGCTTTTCGTCATATCTATAATGGAGTGCAAAAACCCCACGTGAATTGACCACTGCTTATCACTTTTTTCTTTTTCCCATTGTTTATCCCACTTCATTCCTTGTGGCTTCCCTCTACACTAAGACACATGCCAAACACGCTCCTGCATTAGGGCCTTTATACATATTCCCTTCACCTGAAATGACTCTATTCAAATATCAACTCAAGAAGTCTTCCTTAATCTTTTTATTTAAGAGCTCCCTACCCCAATCTTTCCTGCCCTGGTCATTCTCTGTCCTTTGTTCTTGCCTTATTTTTTCTTAATTTTTGACATCTATTTCCTCCATAAGAATGTAAGCTTCATGAGAACACAGATTGCTCTTTTATATCCTTAGCTTGTATCATAGTAGCTGGGTTATAGTAGGTGCTAACTAAACACTGGACTGTCAGTTAAAGGAGGATAAATAATACATTATAAACAACACAGTCATCTTGTAAATTATTCAAGGCAGCTCTCTAAGTTGAGCATCCGACAGTGGGCTTAGTAAGAACCCTGAGCCAAAGCTGCCTTCTCTCATCCTGACCCTCAGTCACAAAGTCTGATTGATTCTCTCATCAAAACATTCTCAAATGTATCCACTCCTACTGACCCTGCTTCATTACCTGTCTCTCCGTTTCCAGTCTCAGCCCCTCCCATCCTGCTTTTGTTCTACTCAAAGAGCAACTCAGGCCCAGCATTAGCCATGGCAGAACCCCAAAAGTCTTCCCTGACTCAAGAAGGCCCCAAGTTCTACAGGTGAACAGCACCCCACGTGCATACCCATCATAGCACTTCTCACACAACATTCTAGTTATTGCTTTACCTACGTATCTCCCCCAGCAAAATCTCTCTTTATCACTGCAGAATTCCACATTTCTGGCATAAAATGGACACTCAATATAAATATATATTTAATGAATCAATTTGTAAAGGTAGTTTCTTATTCACAAGTTCGATGGAGTATTTTCTTGGCTTTAAGAACAATAGGATATTCTTATAACTTAGATGAAAATGTCTCTAGAGTCTGATCTGAGATAACTCTTGAAATGGGAAGGCCCTATCTGCCTCATTCCACTCAATAAATTCTTATTGTTCTCTCAGGTGCTAGACTTGATAATCTTATTCTACCAGAGATAGCTTCTAACTCAAAAATCCTAATGATTATGTCAATAGTTCCTAAGGATAAACAACCCTAAAAAAGTTAGGCATCCCTAAGTCCATTTTACAGATAAGCAAGTAAGGGCTCAGAAGCTTCAATCCTGTAAATACCTAGTCTAGGCTATGATTCCAAGTCTGCTGGACTCCAAAGCCAGTACAATTTCAAACTGCTTTCTTTGCTGCTTAGAAGCCACAGAGGATCCCGTCCCTACTCAAGTTGCAGTAATTTCAAGTTTAGACATAAGCTTTATTTCTCAACAGGTACACCTAAATGTTGAGCTCTTGACCTTAACCTCCAGTGCTGCTGAAGTCAGTCCCTGCGTCTGAGGTGTTAGCATGACTTGTTTACCACCTTTCCATACAAAGATAACAGTACTCACATGAAAATATCTTACCAGTGCCTCCTACCTTGAGGCCAAAGGGAAGAGTCAATACTGAGAAAATCCTTAAACCATACAATTCCTATTTAGGATATAAAAATAAAGGATCTAGAACCATTATATTTTTAAGAACAAAATTTCTGTCTATGAGGTATTGAATAATTTAGAGGTCTTAGAAAAAGAGCCACTTGTCTAGTTCATACTAGTACTTGTATACAATATTTATAGCTCAATCTTTTTCTTTAACAGCTGGAATTTTTTATTTAAGCAATTCAACAATATATATCAAGAATTTAAAAATAACTTGTATCTTCTGACCCAAGAATTATACTCTGGGAATCTACTCTGAGAAAATCATCTGAATTTAAATGAGATCACAAGACAAAGGTATTTTATCAAAGCATTATTTATAATAATAAAAAAACTTAAGCCAATGTTCAAACAGAATAAAATACTATGCAGGAATTCAAAATAAGGACTGAAAGAAGACTTCCGGCCAAGATGGAGGTGTAGGTAGATATACTGTGCCTCCTTGCACAACCAAGATAGGGACAACAACAATTTAGAAAGAGGATAACAACCAGAACTGACAGAAAATTGAACTGTATGGAAGTCGGACAACCGAGTTAAAATAGACCCGTTCATCCAGACCAACAGGAGGGGCGGAGTCGGGCAGCCGGGCAGAGAGGGGTCGCACAGCACAAATTGTGTTGGGACCAGGTGCATGAGACCGCAGCGGGCGGACCCTGTGCACACAAGCAGTGGCTGGCAAACCCCAGCCGACGGTTGGCAACTAGCAGACCCAGTGAGGCGATGACTGTGAAGCAAGGCACTGCGCCCAACCCAGGATCCCAGTGCTGGGAAATAGAGTCTTGGGGCAATGACTGAAAACACCTGTGAGGGGTTGAGGCACAGGGAGAGACTCCC